GCCCCCTCCCCCCTCCTTCACCCCCCACCAGACCCCCCCCCTTTCTCTCCTGGGGGAAGATTGCTCCGGGGGATGAACCCAGCCGGAGGGAGGGAGGGACGCGCCCCACGCACACAAGGAGGCAGAAGGGCCCACGAACAGCGATTCTTTATTTAACCCAGATCCAGGCCGTTAGCTGTGCAGTTTCTGCTCCTCCCCACCCTCCCCCCAGAGTATCTTTGCCCTGCAGGGGCTGGCACTGCCCCGCCCCATCAGCTCTCTGCTTTCTGCTCCTGCTCCGCGCCGGGCTCTGGCAGCTCCTCCGGCTGGCTGACGGGCTGGGGCCCGCCGGGCACCGGCTCGTCCGGCGTGAGGCTCTCTGGCTTGCTCTCGGCTCCCTCGTCAGCGGCGCTGCTGGCTCCCGCCTCCTTGCTCTTCGCTTCCTGGTGTGGGGCAGGGAAAGGGGGCAGACAAGACGCCTCATGAATGGAGACCCCACAGCCGGACAGACCAAGGGACCCATTGTTGAGCTGGCTTCTAGCTTTAACTTCCACCCCGACCCTGAAGAGGGGATCATGTCATCCCCACCTGGGATCTCTTCAACTGCCCCTCACTTATCCTGGGGCACTTTCCAGCCCCCTTCCAAGATCGCTACATCAGCCTTGGTTTCCCAGCCTCAGGCAGGAAGGGGAGGGGCCAAAGGCACTGGGCAGGCCCTTGGCTCCATCCTTTGGCCAATGAGATCAGTAGGGCTGGAGCAGCCCTGCCCCCAGGGCAGGGTCAGTGGCTGCACAGGGGTTTGGTGGGGGAGCCACATTGACCACCATGGGGCAGGGCCCCTGATGCTGCAGTGTTTGGGGAGGGCCCCCTCGTGGCCAGAAGAGCTCTCCGTACCCGCCTCTGTGCTAGGGGACACCGGGGGCCAAGAAGAAGTAGGAAGCTTTGAGGCCAGCGAGGGGTTAATGGGACCCTGGCTGGGTGCAGCCCTGACTCCACGCACGAGCTCTGCCAAGCGCCCGTCCGCCCCCAGAACGTACCTTCGCAGGTAGGGGCCCCTCCACGCTGGAGTCCAACAGGGACCCGTCTCCGCCTGAACCCTCCTCTTCCTCCTGCATGCTGATGAAGATGGTGGGCGTTTCCACCTCGGGACCCTCCTCCCGGAAGTCCATGGGCTCCTCGGCGGGCAGCGGTGCCAGGACGTGGGCAGGGCGTGGCTGGCTGGCCGGCTGCTTCAGTTTCTGCTCC